CAAAGGACTGATAAGAAGAGAAAGGCCAGCCAGAAAGTAAATTACAGCTTTGAATAATTGCTGTTTAAAACTACTGAATAGTAACCATTCATTAAAATTACCAATTATTTTCAGCTATGAGCCACAATTACTTGAATAGAATAAATTAATGTAGCACAATTTATAGACTGTTTCTAAAAACAGCCTTAAAGTTTTGGATCCTCATTATAACCTTCCTAGATAAAAGCAGAGTGAAATTAACCTGATTCTTGAATATTCCCATGCTACACATGGCTCTGGTTTTTGGCTCATGTACTAGTAGGACTGAAGATTGTTACTTCTGAAACATAGCTGTAAAGATCAAAAGTGAGTATACGAGTTCTGAACGAATTTCAGGATCATCGGATGGACCTACAATAGCCAGAGAAAAAAGGGATTGGAAAAGTACAAAACAGATAGCATAATGATCTTGTACTCTCCCTTACACTTTATTTGCACATGCATGCACTACTCTCCCCTGCCTCCCTCCTGCCCCCAGAAAGTCCTTTGTCCCTAGTGTATTGGTCAAACCACATAGGGTAAGTATCTTCTTGAGTCCTGAAGGTGAAGATCTTTTTTTACTCCATCATAGCATGTCTGAGTTTGAGAGTATAATGAAGCTTATTTCTTTCCGAACGTCAGTCAACTCCAAAGCATAAGAGCAACATTTGGACTAAGTAATATACAATTCAAAAGTGGTATTTATTGGTTGAAATCCTTTCTTGAAAAATATCTGAGGCCTGGGCTCTTGACCCAAAGACAAAATGAGATCTAATATACTTGGGCTGGAATTTTTAACCAGTCACAAATATAAAACTATTCCTATCGAGCCAATTCTTAGCATGAATGCACTTTATTCTTGAGGACTGGTCTGGAAAAACATATTTTAGGGTCACATTTTAATTCATTTGTCACTTATGAAAAACAACTCATGACATTCTTAAGGAAACAAAATTCGAGTTCACTTTCTTGAAAAGCAGGTTGGACAAAACAGGACTTTTCTTTTATTGTCCTTCAGCTCCAAGAAACACCTGCTCACTCTTTGAAGGAAGAAAGAGTACATTCTGAGGTTGGATGCCTCTTTTGTGGTGTAAGTCAGCATACAGGAAGTATCACATTGTCTTTTAAGTACTGGGAAGATTTACAAATACTATTTCCTTTCAGCTACTGAAATGCATGTTTTATATTTCAGATGACCTAAAAAAATCTTGCTGTTGGCAGACTAAAGAAATGCTTAATGCAACTGTGCTCTTAAGAAATTTATAAAGGAAAGCTGTAACATGTCATTTATAACACAGCCTATATGCCAGACCTAAAAAAGAATTCAGAGAGATGTGTGTTCTGATTTAGAGTACAGATATGCAGGTCTTCCGGATTCAGAGATTAATGATAAATAAAAGGACCAGTTACCTTAATACCACCTTTTCCAGTGTTTTATTAATAATAATCCTGCTACAAATGTGCATTAGAACTCATAATGATGCTCAACAGATGTCTTCTTGCAGGTCGGAAAAGAAAATGTTAACTCAAAAAAAATTTTTGCAGTAAAAGCAACATGTAAAATAAAACAGACACAAAAAGCATAGAAGAAAAATTGCATAGCGAGGGGGGAAGCAATTAACTTGAAAAATGTACAACTGAAAATTAAAACATAGTTTGGCTAAGTTTTCTGCTTGGTAACTGTAATTAAAGAGGACTGCTTGTCTTACTGAAGCAATAAAACAAAATGTTGTCTGCTTAGCAAATGACCTCTAACTTGCAAAAATATGCAGTTCTGAATGAAAATGAAATCACAGTTTGGAAGGAATTAAATTTATTCCAATTTCTACCTTTTGTATGCATCCTTCTACATTCTTGAGTCTTTGAATCCCTTTGAAGCACACTGACAGAACATTTGCCCAGAATACTCACTGTACCATCCTGTATGCTGTGTATTGTAGCATAAAAGCTACAGTTCAAAAGCTAACTTTGCAAGGTAATGTCAGGACAGGCAGCAGGTTTCCCAGTTTGTGTGGATCCAGTATTTTCACTTCCCTATAGCTAAGGTATTAAGGAGATGTTAACAAACTTTTCTACTTTGAAGTTAAAGAAGCAGCTGTAGGATCTCAAGCTGCTCTGGCCTTGGTTTATAGTAATGCTTTTTTTCAACCCAAGTTTGGCAAAAGTAGTGGTCCAATTAGTAATACTTCCATGACATTTCCTTTATAAGAAGTTGTGAGGAAGGATATTTTTCTGCACATTCTGAACAGGCACATCAGGATTTGGCTTTGCAGCTTAGCACTATACAAGGGCCCCAAGAAGCTAGTGCAATTCTTTTGTGTGGATGTAACTCCGGACTTTTAGCCAAAGAGCTTCATTCTGATGGCAGTGAGGGTCGGCTTCAGATACTGAAGGAGAACATCATGACGATATTGAAGCGTACATATTTGACATAGATGAGGTTTTCAGCCTAGAAAGATTGAACAGAGTAAAACCTTGCTTTTAAGCCATGTTTTGTGCCTTCCCAGGCTGTCACATCCCAGGACCCTTTAATTTTCAAAAGTTTATGCGAATGCAACAACATGTATTAAGACAGTATGAGGTATGTCCTCAGTGTTGTATAAGGTGGCCCCATGTCTGATTTCAATCATCTGACCTAATCTGTTCAGTAGAGTGCTTAATATTGCAGTCCTTCTGCCAAGAGAACCCTTACTCACTCTCTTACAAGATGTCTTTTTGAGTGTATATACTCAATTTTTATGTTTATATTACTTAATACTAATTATATAAATGTTATGATAGATATATTTTATATATATTGTTGCATTGTTATTATTTTTGCTCAAACTCTTTACGTGTAAAAGTCAAATGTGGAATTGAAGCTGCGAAGTTCTTGGATCTTCCAAGAGCAATTAAATGTAACTGCTTATTTGGAGTTGAAAGTAATACAGTAGAAAGTCTTTTGGCTAAGGGTACAACAAATTTTGATTACAGATAAGTGCAAATTATCGTCTCTTCAGCTGTCAGGCTAGCAGTAGGCTAAGGCATCATTAGTAAGTATTGCTGGCAATTAGAATTTGGAAACTTAGATTTCAAAAACTACTGCATAGAATTTCTCTCTAAGAAATATGTCAATATGAAAGTTACATCCTTTCCTCATTTGAAGTTCTATTCCATTCTATTGTTGGTTGTTTTTACATTTTCACGTTCTATGTATTTCCAGTTCTGAAGTATGGTATAACTTACATAATGTTGTCTGAGTACATGTTTATCATTAATTTTAAAAAATTATTGAATATGCTACATTATGCTGCTTCTGAAGACTTAAATAGTATCTGGCTTTTATGCTTTTTCAAACTTACCCGATGACAGAATGAAATTACCATGTGTATGTTGAAATGACTACTTCTTATGTTACCTTTAATATCTAGCTTGTCAAAGGTATCTAAATTGTGTTTTATTTATGCAAAGATTGTTCATATAATGAACAGTCATGGTACACACTATTAGTCTACAGTATATTAGTTTACAGAGATAATTCCAAGGAACTCCATTCTTACATGTGACAAATTGCTTGAACACTTAAAGGAGAACAGTTCTGTACTGATAAGAGAGGACAAATGGAGTCGCATCAGAGTATGTTCTCTCTCCTGTTGTGTGATTCATTACTAGGTAAAATGAGTTGCCCTTGAGTCTTTTTTGGCCTGTGCTACCAGCTGTAATGCAATTCAAATTTTTGTGGTCTCAGCTCAATGCATTATTCAAAGAAAACTGAATTTTAGCAGAGACTTTGGGAGCTTACTGCTTGTGGTAGTGGTAATATATTGGGGGGCAGAAATGGGAATTATTATTTCTTATGGAGCAGTAGTTATCTAGAGAAATAATTTGAAAATGATATATTGATTTTGAAAATTAGGAAATGTTTGAAAAACAGTCAGCTGATCTTCTTTTTCTACAAAATTAAAATGTTCATGCATACATACTTGTGCATGTTCATGTAGCTACAAGTACTTAGCTAAGATTTTCGAAACCTCTTCTTACATCTATTTTTTGATGCGCATGTTATGTTCAGTTATGTATTTCTCTGATACTGCTAAAATTCATGTTCTTTCCTATCTTTGTGCATGCTGGAGGCTTTTATGGTCATTGCTGATGACCAAAGGATACTTCTTCCTTTTCTGACTTCTATAATACTAATTCCTAAAAAACTTATTTAAAGTCTTGGTGGGGCAAACACTCCTACTTTGCACATAAGCTATGGTGAATATTGCAGGGGAGAGGGGGGCTGCTTTTAAGGTGTCTCAAAATCGCTGGCTTAAGGATTGCTGTGCTCTTTGAGTATAACTTGAGTGCTTTATTACTCGGACAGCTTTTACTCACTAGACGAGATTTAAGAGTGAAAGAATGTTTACTTAACAACCTGGACTTAAAATACTGAAGTGTCAAATAAAAAAAAACCCAGCTACACTATCAAAATAAAAATAAAATTACTAAAATTATACTTTACAATAAATATACTCTTGTTTCTGCCGCATCTCAGCCAGTTTCTGCCTTTCTTTTGGAAGAAACTGGAATAAATTTAAATTACAGGTTTTCTTTGTTGAAGGTAAGCTGCCTTTTCCTTTCCACCTGATCAGAAAGGAAATGCAGAAGACAAATACTATCCTTTTTTCTGTGGCGTCCCAGGCTGGAAATCCTTTGCTTTTTGTTTTTACTAATGAAAACTTACATTCCTGTCTTCTGCTATATTGGATGCCTTGATACCAGACATGATGGTATCTAATGGTACTTATTATTTATTATTTACAATTACCTATGGTACTAAACTCAAAGTTTAGTATTACTAGTATATGTGTTAATTAGTACAACCTCTTCCCCATGTGATACTGTAATTACGAAGTAGTTTAGTCCTTTTAGTGGAACAGTTTCTAATTTAAGTTTTTTTTTCAGAGGAGAAAACTTTTCAGATTTTTGATATTTTCTTGTCTCTTTCACATCTCTAGCCAACAAGGACACTAGTTATGACGAGTATGTCTTCTGAGTAAGTATTGAACATTTTGACTCTTTAGTCAGCACACCGTTTAAACTTGAATGTTGATAATCTTTTTCTGCCTATGCAAAATGAAATTTATCTTTGGGCCATATGTTAAAATGCTTTATTTCGTTCTGTATTCTAGCTAGAAAGACTCAAAGAAGCTCAACGGGGCCTCAGAGCAATGAAACTAAAATCTTAAGCAAGTTTTGAATTTTTCTGAAGGAAGCATAAAAAGGAATTTTATGTAGTAAATGGTTCAGACTTTCAGCCCAAGACTTAGCTTTTTCCCCATACATTTTAATTATTTTGATTTAAAAAGTCATAATCTGAAACATCAGTTCAAAATGTTTTCTTTCATATAAATAGTTGCTGCAGAAATATCAGTTGTAGGCTTTTTAGCCACTTAGTTTCAAAACATTAGAAGCAGCTGCCACTGCATATTTTGGGGGAGAGTTAATAATTTTCTGGCATGCTTTTATCGTTCTCTTAAAAGTCTTACAGCATAAAGAACATCCAACAAAAACACAATTCCATATTTTATACTACACTTGCTTACAGTTTTCTGAATTCTTTTTCAAAACTCAAGATATTTCCACTACCCACAAATCTGCTTCAGGTTTGAAGTAATTAAATCTTGACAGTTACATAGCTACAAATACTCAGAAACAGCATTTGGTGGCTATCCTTTTAGAAGTTCATTGTAAATAGTTGTCAATAGCTATTAACAAGTATACTCATGTATGTCAGAAACATAAAATGCAGTTAATACTTTTCTTGTATTTAATGTGACTGGATGCTACTAACACCAGGGCTGTAAAATGCACTTTGCAAGTCATGCAGGATCACTGTGGGGGAGGTAGAGATAACAGCTACAGTGCAGATAGGAGTAGTGAAAAACAGAGGCTGTGATCTGCCTAAGAGAACAAATCCTGGCAGAGCTGGGGAAAAAGTTCTTTTGTTGAAAGAGGTCATTAATATATTATTTCTGTTATGTTGCTTGTATGTTGATTTTTCCCACTAGCCAATTACTATTGCATTAAATAAAAACATCTTCTGATAACAATGGCTTCTCTTCAGAACTTCTTCATCAAGATTGTGCTTTTGGCTGCCTACAGTTGTAGGCATTCATCAGCCTGTAAATGGGTGAAGGGAAAGGGACTGCTTCTGAAAGAACTAAAGAAGAGAAAACAGTTCTCCAAAGTGTACAGCCCAATGGCCAAAAGCCCATTCTACTACCCAGTAGCTACATCTTCAAAAGTGGTTCATTAGAATTTAAACTTAAAGATCATGAGTTCAGTGGTTTTGAGATTATATTAAATGCTGCTTGCTCATTCACTGCCAGCAGCTACCTGTTTTTCTGAATCAAATTCAGTGAAATTTTGCTGTAAATTTGCATCTGGCAGTTTTTGCATCTGACTGAAGTAAAAACTAGTGAGTTTTCACTGTAATTTATAGATTAAATTAGATTTAATTTATAGATTTGATTCAATGTAATTTATAGATTTAGATTCGATTCTTGACCAGCAGGACTTTTCGCTCTCATTGTAAGGGATTTTGTGTAGACAGAGGAAAGAAGAAAAGCGTCAGGTAGAGCATGGAAATGCTTCCCCTGAGCATGTAGTCTAGGCAGGGCCAGCATCTATGGGTTGCACTGTTGCAAAAACATTCCCTTGTAGTCTATGTCAACTTGAAACTCATCAAATGAAAAGGGAATAGTAAGTATTTCAGTAACATTCAAGGCAATATAGCCAAGGGCAGAATTCACACTCACCAGTGTCTGGAGTGAGGCAGTTAAGTCAGTGGTTTGACTTTTTATTTTTTTAAGTGTCTCCACATACAATATCACCTTTTCTCTTAAGTGTGAAGTTAATCTGCTACACTATTTGCTGTTAAGATTCATTTATTTGTTTGAAACTTCTTCACAAAATAGTCGCATTCTCTGTGAAGAATTTTTTGCAGGTTTTGTTAGAGTTCCTCTAAGTATTTTCTGCTTTAGCTGGGGTATTTGGGGAGCTTTAATTGAGTTACTTTCTGTGCAGTGCAATGTAGTGAGAATGACAGTAACCCCAGAGGCTTCTGGAGATGTTCTGAGTATGCTTGCATTATATCAGTGATTAACTGAAATGTTTTACCTGAGAGGATCACCGTTGTGATAGGTGTGACTGTATTCAAGGTTGTGCCTAATTGTTTTATCTTGTATAGCATGCCATGGACATGAAGTCAGCTGAGGGGAGCAGAGAGGGCACTGGAACTGGGCTTTTGTTTACAGATTTTTAATGATCATTTGTAATACTGATTTATAATAATAATCATTAATAAAAACAGTGAATTGCTCTCATGCAACAGCTTTTCTCTAGTTACACCAAGATCACACTTTTTTCGCGATTATATATTTGTGTGCTTCAGTGTAGCTATGTAGAGAACTCAAATTAGAATGCCAGTTACAGGTGGCCATTCTGGATTTTATATTTAATTATAATTGTATTTAAGCATAAGTGAATTTTTAGTTGAAACATTGTCTCAGCTGTATAGGTAGCAAGCCGGAACTTTAGGTCTTCTCTCTAAATTTAGACACAGCATTTTATTCAGATGCTGAAAATCTGGTGCTTCCTACTGAAAATCTCTTAAGAGTGCTGTGTCTAAATGTTTACATTTCCTGGTAATACTTTTTGATAGTACTACAAAAGCAACCAAGAATGAGGCTGTGTTGTACTAGGCATTGTACACAAACGATATGTTAGATAATTCCTAACTCAAAAGCTTCTATTTAAACAGACAAGATAGATGTGGGGGACAGAAGAGCTTTGATGTGCAAGTAAATATGATTGTATGATGACAGAAAAGGATCTCTTTGGACTTTGTGGGAAGGCTAATGAATTTAGGACTAGCAAATGGGTAGAAACTCAGTGAGAAAAGGATAAGAAATGATTAGTGAGGAAAGAAATGAGGTGAAATTGAGTTAACTTGTGTTCTGTGTATATGCTTTTATAATTTGGCATATCCATTCAACTTTGCATGTTTGTTTTTTTCCTTTTCTTTTTAGGAAACAAAATACAGTAATTCAGGTGGTGAATAAACTTGGAGACTTTTTATTCTCAGATGATGTATGTGAAACAACAAGTCATGTAGTTGCAGGGAGTCCTCGTCGTACCTTGAATGTTATGCTGGGAATTGCTCGTGGGTGTTGGATTGTTTCTTATGAATGGGTAAGAAATATTTTTAAATTTTACTACAGAATAAATTAAACTTATTTTGCATAGCTGAAATATCAACCATATAACAAAGTTTATGTCCATGCTATGTACAGTGGTGCAATGTTTGGATATTCAGGCTTACCTACAGTTAGCTCAGTTAGTGAAAATTTGTCTGTGTGAAGCTCTGTTACCATGACTTAGGCTTTCAGTACTTCATCTAAACAAAGTATTCCTGCGTTGTACCTCAGTATGTATTTTAGAAATGCCTGAAGTCTTATCTTATGGATGAGAAACTCATGTCACAAGCATTATTTTTTGACAGATTAGAGCCTAAACAAACCATTTCTGCTCAACATTAACCAAGTCACATTATTCAAATTGAATTTTTTATATACCAATTTAATACATTTCTACTATGTTCCAAAACATGTATTGTGTTCAGCACTGGTAAAAGTAAAGTGGAATTGTTAGATATTTTGCTGCATATTGGGAAAACTGTAAAATAGAAAAAAAAAGTAAGGAAAGCTATTTGTAGATGAGTAGTTTGGAGACTTAGTAATTTACGGATATGGTTCCCAGACATCTAGATCAAATAATCACTGTATATCCTCAAAATCTTTTGTGGACTACCACATAAAGTTACTAGACTGTTACTGTAAAGATAAGATAATCATGAATTGCTGTACTGGGTCTGGCTGAGATGGAGTTAATTTTCTTCGTCATAGCCTGTATGGTGCTTTGGTTTAGACTGGTGACTAAAATGGTGGTGATAACCCACCAGTGTTTTATCGATTGTTCAACAGTGCTTACACAGCATCAAGGTGTTCTCTGTTTTTTGGTTAGCCTCCCAGCGCTGGGGGTGCGCAACAAGTTGGGAGGGGACACAGCTCGGACAGCTGACCCCAACTGATCAAAGAGATTTTCCATATCATATGATGTCACGCTCAGTTATAAAACTGGGAGGTGTTTTTCCAAAAGCAGCTGTTGCTCAGAGACTGGCTGGGCATCAATCTGCTGGTGGGAATGATTTCTTCTACATCATTTGGGGTTTTTTTAACTTCTTTTTCCCCTTCACTTATTAACTGTCTTTATCTTAACCCATAAGGTGGTTTTTTTCTCGCTTTCCCCCTTCCAGTTGTCTCCCCCATCCTGCTGGGGCAGGGAGCGAGTAGTGACCGGGTGAGGAGTTTACCTGTCAGCCCAGGGTTACACCACCTCAATTGCTCACTATGTTAATAGAGATTAACCACTCAATCTGGCATTGCAGATGACAGTTTCTCAGCTTTCCTTGTGTTTCCAGAGCTATAAAAACATAGCTGTTGGAATTTATATGGAAATAGCTCTTCATCTTACACAGAAAAAGGTTATAGAATAACTTTAAATTTCTTGGTTTCCTTTTTCTTATAAATACTTCAAAATTTAGTTGTTGGGCTGAAAACAAAATAAACTCCTGTTGCCTTTTTGCTTTCAAGAGATCTGGCACTTACCAGTGTGAAGCTTGTCCTACATGATATACATGTAGTTATCTGAAGAAACTGTTATGGTATACTTTGGAGTTTTCAGAAGTTCTTGGTGATTAATTTCCCTTGGAATAAAGGGGTTTTCATCGTTGGTCACCTTAACGAACCAGTAATGTGTCTTTGTGGCAAAAAAGACCCAATAGCATCCTTGGCTGCATTAAGAGAAACATATTTCAGCAGGTGGTTTTGACTAGACAATCTCCAGGTCAATTCCCGCTTCAACTATTATATGTTTCTATGCATCTATGAATTAAATACATTGAAATATCTGTCCCACACTTAGTTTTGTATGGAGTTTTAAACAAGTAACAATGTATTTTCTATTAGTTACTTTCTCATAACAGGATATTCAAACATGAAAGCTGTTTATTTCATTGAGAAAATGCTTCAAATAACTACTAAGATAGCTAAAGATGTAGATAACTACTACAAAAATCCAGATAGTTTCCTATCTTTGTACATAAGGCAGTATTTGGATAATCAGTATTCTGGCAATTGCTGTCCTTCCTTTCATTGCCCGTTTTATGCGCTGCGCTTCTATGAATGCATCCATGGTGAAAACATCAACACATGCTCTTCATAGACCAGTATTGACTAGTAACAATGCCAAATTTTCTCCTGCTGTCTTACAGTCTACCTTTTAGACTCATCACAGGGTCATCTGTATCCCTCATATAATACCCATAAATTAAATGGAATTGTTCCAAGGATTAGTTTGTTCCTGTAAGTATTATTGGATCAAATGCTGACATTGTCTTCATTCATTTTATTGAGCTGCTATTTAGAAAAAGTTCTAAAGTTACTAGGAGAGCTGCATGAGGAGGAACTAGAGAAAAACTTCAGAATTCATTTCTCCAAATCATAAGTTTATTCAATCTTATAGTATCTGCTTATCTGTGAATATTGCTACTTCTAATTTTCTTAGAACTGTTCACTGAGGCTGGGTACAACTTTGTCCATAAATGTCTAATCCCTCAAGTAATTTAAGGCACTTGTTTCACTGAAAGAAAATACTGCTTAACTTTTTAAAAAAATTATTCAAATCTATGCATCTTATAATGTAAAAGCATTATTGTCTTATTTCTAATTGACTCAATGGCACAATTTTGTCATCTTTTTACCCGAATTCATTAGCTGAATACTTTAACTAGAGAAGAGAAAGCTGAAGCCTTACTTAACCATCATGAGGAATTCTGTAGAAAATTAGTCAGGAGAATTTCATTTAAGCAAAATGATCTTTTCCTTTTATTAATGCTACAATACTGAATACTTTAAATGCCTTTCTGTGCTGTAGTCAATCCTACCATATGTACTTTCACTGGTAAAATACTTGAAATTTGATAATTAAAATAATCAGCCTAGAGAAATCAGTAGTACCTTTTAAACAAGGTATTCATTTTGAGCAGTGAGGATTGTCTTTTGGAAGATGTTTCTCAACATTTTAAGAAGCTGAAATATTATCTACCTCTGCCTTTTGACTTGTAACATGGAAAGATAATTTGAGCTGCAAGATTTTTTTCTTCTTCTGAGAAAAACTTAAAATTATCTTTTTAAAGATGTGTGTTGGAGAAATATCAAATTTACCTGTGAAGGTTAAATGTTAACCTTCATAGCACTCTGTTTACGTATTTCAAGGTGAGTTACTCAATACAAATACTGAATGATCATTCAGTGTGCTAGCTAGATTGGTAAGAGGCCTTAAATAATGACTAGTCAAGCAGTGTGTTTTCAGACCCTTGAGAACTTGATATTTGACATAAATTTTCCTATACAGTGTGAATAAAAGAACATAGCTGATATGGATATACAAAGGAAAACTTTGCACCAAGGCTAACCTTATAGCTGTATAACCTGCAGGACACTTGGAGCTCTTTGCCACACAGGTTGCCTGCTACTGAATTAGATAAATAGTCCATACTTGAGGACAAAGTAACAGAAGATTGATCAACTTGATGCTAGAGTCCAAAGCCAAAGGAAAACATTCTTTATGGTTGTAAGAAGTCCACAGAAAAACTATGCTTTTCCCACTTGCCTCTTCCCTCCCTATTTCCTCCTTTCTTGGGTCCTCCCATGACCAGCAAGACTGCATTCTACTAGAATCTGACACATTCTTAATATCTCAGTGTTATCATCTGTATTTTCCTATCTTCTGATATTCCAATAACCAGCATTCATGCTTGACCCATACTGTACTGCCTTATCATTACATTTTAAGTTAAATCTTTTGTAAGTGCACATTTGAAAACTTCTAGAAAGCTCTTTCTTCTCAAGATAAACATTTTTATATTCTGAAGTATTTCAGCTTTTCTTGGTCTTTTTCCACATTCTCAGGAACTGTTGAATAGAAAGATATTACTGACTTAAAAAGAAAAAGTAATTTGCTCAAGAATAATATTGCAAATCATAACTTGATTTTGTCCTACATTAATTTGAAGCGTTTTTTTTTAGTGTTGCTATGAAAATATACTGGTTAAAAATTTGTCTCTGCCAAGAAGCAAACTTTCAGTGACTTAGAAAGTAGAGTTCTTGCCTTTGTGTTCATGAAAACTGAATGTTTTAGTGAGTGGTGACCTAATTATTTACTGCAGGACCTGTTCATGAACTCTGTATCTAATTTTCTTTTTATCTAGGAAAATAGATATGATGCCTTTGTATCCAAGTACAGAACCATGATAGACAAGCATTAATCCATCTTTTGTTAAGATAAACAAAATTCATTTCTAAACAAAATTCTGTAAATACTACAAGGGTTGATAGAGGTTGTTACTATAAATTGGCCTGGAAAATGAAATGGGATTACTTAATCATAACTCATCTTTTGGGTTTATGTTTTAATCTATTTGGGTTGTTTGCCAGTTACTCTTGGTACAAACATCATTTTGGTACTATAAGGACATGATGTATGCATTATACAGCATGATACATCTGTTCATGCTCAAGATGATTTATGAAGAAATTATTTTCATGCAGTATGTCTTTAAGAATTGTATTAGAAGTTACAATATTCTTGGATCAGTTAAAGTTGATTTATACTGTCATTAAAAGAAAAATGGCTTGGATTAACAAGTTTCTTTTATTTGCAATAAATATACACAGCCATAAGTAGAAAGCTAACAGATTTCAACATTCTTTTTGTATATTATATAAAATATGCACAGGTACCATCTTAAAATTTATAACATAAAATCCTAAGTTGCAGGCTTAACTGAATGTTTTTAAGAAGTTACTTAAAAACTTGTAACTTCTTTTGGCTAAACACAGTAATTATTATGTTTTGAATATTTTTTAAAGGTCATTGATTTATTAATGTGCTTAACTTATTTTTAGGTTTGGTATGATATGACTATAGGAATTATTTTCTCTTTTTGTACAGCTCTTGCATTTTCAAATATTTGGTTGTGTGTTTTCTAAAAGTAAACATAATATTCTTTGGATTTTTGTAATAAATTTCCACAGAAATTTTGAAAATGTGCTGCTTTTCATCATCAACAA